GAGGGCCACGAAGGTCAGTCCACTAACCCTGATGAAAAGCGATCTGAAGCTCCTAAGAAAGGCATAAGGCCTTGATGTGGATGCCATCTGTTCACAAGCTATCCCTCTTCTGGAGCGTGGTTGCTAATCAAAGTCAAGCAGACAGGCCTGCAGCCCCTGCCCTCTTGGGAAAAACAGCACAACATGTCGTTGGTACCATGGGGCCTCTAGCTTTGCCCAGGTTTAGAAAGATCATCAACAATGGCTCGCTCCAACAGCTGGACCTCCAGAGTCATAAGAGGGACAAAAATAAAGAAGCTGTTTCCCTCACTTTAACAGCTTCGCTTTACAAAGGGCCTTCGGGAAAAATACACACAGTAATAATAATGTCAAGACACCAACACCGTGAGGCAGGCAGGGCGAATGCCTTCAGCCCCTCACTACAGAAGGCGAAACTGAGGTCAAGAAAGCCAAGCTTACATGCCCAAGGCCTCAGAGTAAGCCAGAGCGGCAGAGCTAGCAATCACCATGTGTAACGGAGCTCCGGCTGTTCCCACACCACAGGTCTCTCAATGGATTTTTTCAGATTGAATTGTCTCTAAATCAAGAGTGCGATCGTCTAGGGTGCCTTTTCCTGAGAGAAACGAGGAACTGCAAGCAACATCCCAAGGGGAGTGTTAATTTGTGACTCCAAATCTCATCAGGATTGCCTTGATTGTTTAACCACAAGACTTCATAGATGTCTAGCACCCAGGGTCTACGAGCAGTACAGGAGGTACTGTTGTTCTCAATCGACTGATAAGGAAACTGAGGCATAAGGGGGTAAAGAAAGAAAAGCTGGAGTCCAAGCACAGGGTTCCCTTCCCGTCACCACAAGGGGCTCATCTCAATCTAAAGTGTGAGCAATGACATGGACGGCCGCTCCCTTTGCCTTACCAGGTTCCCAAAGGCCTCATGCCTTCCCTGTGGCAGGCCTGCCAATAAGCCATTTGTTGGTTAACATGGAAAGCCAGCATTGACTGAATTGCTCTGCTGATTTTATTTACAAATAGATGCCAATTCCGTCTGGATTAAAGGAGCAGCCTCTTCCTCCATCAGTCACAATCACCCAAGTGACACAGGAAAAACAGAAGAATTCAGAGGAAGCTGGAGCCGTCTTCTAGTGGGAGGCACAATCAGAGGGTGGGAAGAGGAAGGCCCATCCCACACTCTCCTGCACATCCAATGACGCAGTTCGTCCTAACACAGTCTTCTCCAAGAGGCCGCCATCTTGCCCCCTTGGTTCCCCAGGACCCACAGCAGCCTCATGTTTTCAGGTAAGAACTCTCCCTAGCCCAGATCCTCTGAGGGCTATGTCAGGTGGCCCTTGGAGGTGCTAAGCTCAAGGGTGGTGATGGACCATTGAGTAGGAGAATCCTCCACACTTTGGGTTCTGGCTGCAGAGGAGGGAGCTGTTAGGCTAAGGAGTCGTGAACGAGCCACGCCCTCCACTGCAGAGGAGTGAGCTGCCTCATCTTCCCCCTTCCAAACTTCCCAACTACCACTGGGACACTGCCATCCCCCAACCTTTCAGCTCCCCAACTGTGATGTCATCTCCACTCCTCACTGCGCCTCCAGCCAGGGATGCTGTCATTTCTCCCCGCACGTCTCTCCCAGCCAACCCTGTCTCTGCACTCCTGAGTGCCACTCTGATGATTGCAAACACCTCCCAGGGGACCTTTCTTCCTCCAGTCTCTTCTTTGTCCAATCCACCAATCATGCAACCGCTCACGAGATTTTCCTCAAGCGTGAGTACTACCGTGTTAGTCTCATACTCAATACATTTCACTAGTTCCCCAAGAACAAAGAGCATTTCATCATACAGTGGCCTTTTTTAATGTCTACATTTAGAGTGGTGTGTACTACATATGATTATTGTTATGGAAGTTTAAGTGTATAAGATTATAATTTAGAAATAAGCAAGTTATATACACACACACACACACACACACACACACACACACACACACACACACACATATCGCCATACTGGGCTGCATGCTCAAAAATGTTTCCTGATGAGGAGCATGATTCTAAAAGCTTAAGGAGCCCTGCTCTGGGGATCCAGCAGGTGCTTACTTACGGCATCCAGAAGCCTCCGAGCCTGCACCACCCAACCTGCTAAGCATGGCTCACTTCAAAGGCAGGTGGTTCTTGCCACGGGCCCAGTTCTGGAATAATCGGGAGGTCTGCCTGTCTCGGAAGAAGCAGGTTTGGCCTCTTGCTGCCTTATTTCTTAGAGGTGAGGTACTGCCGGGGAAAGCACCCTAGAGCGGGCATCAGAGGACCCGGATGTCAGCCTGGCTCTGAGACCCCAACAAAGTTACTTCCTGTCTCTGAGCCTCAGTTTCCTCATCAGAGAAATGGAGCCATACTGCAGGTTCCACCCGCTTTTCAAAAAGCTGTGAATGGCAGGAACGGGCTTTGTAAGTCTTTGAGTAGCCGGTGGTCACTGAGGCCACAACTCCTGCCATACAACCTCAGGCTCGTCGGTGTCACTCCCTCCACCTCCCCCATGAGGAAGTGAGGACCACAGCAGGTCAGTGACTGGCCAGGCTCACCCGGGTGGTCACGAAACTGAGCTGGTGAGTGAACCTCGAGGGTCTGACCCGCCGCCCAGCCTCGGCACCAGCACGGCAAGCTGGAAAGAGAAGCACCTTTATGCCTGCTGCTGGGTCACGCATCTCCCTTTCCACGAAAACAGATTTTTCTTAACATTGCCCAGCACCATGCTACCTTTACTTTCCTTCCTCTTTATCTGCTCAGCCCAATGTTTGGGCTGGGCGCTGCCAGTGTAAACACAGAGAAGGACAACAAGTGCCTCACGAAGACAAGCACACACATAACTGTGATCGGAGGGAGAAGGAGAAAGGAGCAGTGGAGAGAGCCAGGCCAAGGGCAGAGAAATCCCAGCAGGTAGAGGCCAGGGGAGTCAAGGAAGCCCTGAGCGAGGGGAGGGAACGCGGACGGGGCAGGGGAGCCCACTGCAACGCCGAGGGACGGCCTGAACCACAGAATGGAGCCAGAGCAGGCAGGACGAGAGTGGGGACAGAGAGCGGGACTACGCGGCCTCCAGCCCCAAGGGGTTCCAAAGGGGAGGCAGAAGGCTGGCCCAAGAAGGGGAACAGTGAGAGCTTAGAGGCCACTGTAGTCAGGGAGAAGGAAATCCTCATCTCCTGAAGGCCGAGTGCAAGGCCTACCCACTTCTGACGCCCTCTGCCCCAGGACAGCTTCTAAGACACTTCCCAATGGAGCAGGGGCTGGTCTCCTCAGTGCCCTCTACCCATGAAACCCTCAGGACCCTCCCACACCCTCAGAAGACACGACCACATTATTCAGCCCACTTTCACAGAACGACACAATCTACATCATGGTCACCTCATCAAACCTGGAGTCCGGCTCTGACTTGTCACCCAGCCAAAGCTCAAAGGCCCCCAGGGCCCCTCACCAGCCTGTGCATCCCACCCCACACAGTTCCCATTGTCAGGACGTTCTCCTCAGCAGAGCCCAAGCAGCCGGCCCCTCAATGCTCCTGCCCCCGCAGCGCCCCACATCTGATCCTCTTCCTCCCAAGAGCCCCTCAGACGTTTGAGGACCAAGCGTCCCCAGCTCCTTCGAGCAATGAGGAGGGCACAGTTCCGAGCACCCTTTTTTATGCTGACACAATCCTGCTTCTCAAAGTGGGGCTCAGTTGGAGAGGAGAGGTCCATCTCGTCCAGGTCTCCCAATGTGTGTCACAACCTGAGCGCCTGAGAGTTAGGAAAGGCTTTGGGGATTCATCATTCCAACCTCTCCACTTTTCAGATGTGAAAATTGAGGCTCAGTGGGCAGAAGAGACATACCACGATCCCCCAGAGTGGGGCAGGGTTAGAGTCAGGGCTCTGATTTCTGGGAGTTTGTTAGGGAACCATAGAAGAGATCAGAGCAATTCGGGGAACCAGATCTCAAATCTCTTCTTGGGACCATTCCATTCCCTAATGAGGGGTCTGCTTTCAGTACCAGGGCAACATCACGCTGGTGGTGTGTAGACTTGTCTCTACTTATCAAAGCAGACTCAACCACTCAATCCAAGCTCCTTCAGCCCTCCTCTGGGGCTCCATGGTGTGAGTCACCCTGGCTCTCCAAGCTGTGCCTGTTGTACCAGGACCCGCCAGGCTGAGCAGCCAGGAAACCTGGGCTCAGAGAGGGCCGGGGTGTGGCAACTGTCTGTACTGCTCA